TCATCAACAGTGGAATGGATAAATAATGTCTTGTAAGCTTATAGAATGGAATGCTGTAATGTGACGCTGATAATGAACTAATGCTACGTGCAAAGAAGGTGAATCTCAAAAACCTAATTGTAAAGGAAATGAGCCAGATATAGGATACACGCATTATAGTTCTATTTATATAAAGTTCTAGAACAATGGTGTTTGGGGATTCCTATTTGAGTGGTAAATCTCTAAAGAAAAGCAAGAAAATATTAGCCATAACTGTCACGAGAGTGGTTAGATGGGCAGGGGCTTCAGGAGTTCTGGCAATATATTTCTTGATCTCTATGGTAGTTTGCTTTATAATAATTTGTTAAGATGCATATTTACATTTTATGCATATTCTCATTCCCCCACCATTACATAAGAATGCTTTCAAACCTGGGGAAGACTTTAGGATCTACCTCAGGGTTTGTTGTGAGAATTAAATGAAGCCATGTAGAGCTCTTAGAATATGCCTGGCACTTTGTAAGACTATAATAAATGTTAGCTATCAAAACAGTAGAACATTGCTGTTATGATTTTTCTCATTTGTTGCCATTACTTTTAGCTTGATATTTCTTTTTTTATTTCTGTTAATGCAGTCTTCTGAGTTATTGTTCTTTCCTTTATCATTTCTTTCGTTAATCTTAACCATAGAAAGTTAAATCTCTCTCCAATCCATAGATTTAATATGTATTTTCTTACAGTTTTAAGAGGGGTTGCTTTTGGGGCACCTGGGTTGCTCAGTCAGTTAAGCCTCTGGCTCTTGATTTTGACTCAGTTCATGATCTCAGGGTTGTGAAATTGAGCCCCCTTAGGGCTCTGTGCTAGGGGTGAAGCCTGCTTAAGATTCTCTCTCTCCCTCTGTCCCCCCCCCTCTTTCTCTCTTTCTCGGGAAAAAAAAAGAGAGGTTTCTCTAGAACATTTGATTATTTTTATTCCTTTCATAACAACTAAGTATATTATTTCAGAATAAGTACAAAGACACACTTGCATAAAATCTACATTTATTTATCAAATTGATATGGATTCGTATTTAGTGTTATGGGAGAAAACAAACTGATCTTTTCTTCCAATTGGGTAATGAAGTTCCCCTAGCACCACTAATTATACAATTAATCCCTCCCCCACTGATTTCTGCTGCCATTACCTCTTGCATATGCTAAATCCACAACTTTTTGCACCTAAGGCCTAGAGGGAAAGACCACCACCACCAAGCTTGAATGGAGTATGATAATGTAACTGAAGACTGGGGAGGGGGTGGTTGCCAGGCAACAGGAGGTCTAGAAGCAATCCAAGGGGAAAGAAAAAGAAAGGTAGAAAAGCCTCCAAAATGTTCCTTAGAAGATTCCATCCTTGTGTGTGACACACAAACCACTTGGTCTTATGACTTTTGACCAACCACTTCATATGTGTAGACCTCAGTCTTCTCATGCATCATGTGTAGATAGTTGTAGCACCTACTTAATAGGGTGCTGTGTATGAGAACTAAGGAGTAAGGAGCACTGGCTTTGGAGTTAGTCAGCCAGGCATCTCATCTCTGACTCCACCACTAATTAGCTGCATGACCCTCGGTAATTTCCTAATTTTCCAGCCTCTTTCTTCATCTGAAATAGGTGGCAATTAATAGTAATTGAATTAATGTCAATAGAAATTAGAAATGGAAAGTAATAGCAGTGGCTATCTAATGGGGTTACTGTAAGATTAAATAGCTACTACATTTAACAGGCTTGGCACGAGGGTGCCTGGCACCTAGTAAGCTTTCAATAAATCACAGTTGTGTTAGTTCTAATTTTTATTGCCATTATGAAAGGATCAAGAAGAGAAAGAAGATTTAGCAAAAGAGACTGAGAGGTATGCACTGAAAAGATCTGGGGGGAACTGTGAGATAGGGGTATCATAGAAAGCAAAGGAAAATAATATCTAGAAGAAGAGGGATAATGCACAAGAAGATTATGCAAAGTTTACTTTCTCCTAACAAAAGACTCATTTCATCTCTTAGAAATTCATGAGAGAGAGAAAATTAATCTCAAATGAAGGCTATCAGATACAAAATTCTCAAAAATCCTTCTTTTGGTTAACTCCCTTAGTTCAGTCTGAATTCCCAGGTTCCTCAGGGAAGATGCAGATGTCCTGAATACTGGAAAAGCAAATGCTACACAAAGTTAAATAAAGTATGAGGTTTGTGTCATTTTGGTGAAATAAAAACTCAGACAATTTTAAGTTTACAGGACAAAGAAGAAGATGGGGGAAGGAAGAAATGGGGATGAATCATAGAAGTTTTCCAAAGCAGTGGTCTGCTGAGCTCCAAAGCTAACACTGGTGAAAAGGAGGGCAGCGTGGTAGGTGTCACATTTATTTTTCTTCTTACCCTACATGGTCCTAGAAAGAAATTATGACAGCATAAACTGTTTCTCTGGGCAAACTATTCAACAAGCATTTATAGAGTAAAATTGAGAAACGGTGAGCAGAAAAAGAAAGGATACTTTAAGATAAATAGGTGGGCAGATCCCTTCCAAGGATAGATTTAGAGAAGGGTAGGGAGGAATAAAAGGCTATAAACCAAGAGTCAGGGAATGTTGGTGGGCCCCTATGGCTTTGGAGGCCTGAGTGGAACTCAGGGGATGGGGTCTGTTTTGGTTCTAGAGAGATGGAGGTGGCTATCAGAGGCCCAGAATTGCCACAGAGGGATGCAAGAAGTGGGCCTGATGAGCCTTTGCTCCTGGCCAGTTCTCAGCTAAAGGGTCTGAGGCAGAAGGGCCCTCCCAGTCTCCTCCTGGCCATGAGGTTAAAGAGGTGAAGCTGAAGGCAAACATGAGGTGCTAGGGGTGGGGAGGGGCGCTGACAGAGCACAGGAGGCTGAACCTTCACGCCCCTCCACACAGACAAAGTGTGTATGGCTAGGGGAGAGCAGCAAGTGGGTTGAAAGGTCAGATTAGGGGGTCAGGGATGAAGCAGGAGCAAGAAGCCAGGGAGGAGTTGATGGGGATGATTCTGGAAAGAGAAGCACTTCATGGCAGGTTCTGTGTGTGGCAGCCCAGGGAAGGCTTTAGTGGGCTTCTTGCAGTGCCTGGCTTCTACCCCTCCCTGGAGGCCTGAGCCTGCACCCCTTTGTCCCTGTTGAGGGGGCCATTAACCCCTGACATCAATTAGAGCCCCAATACTCCTCTCCCCTCAAGACCACACAGTCCAGGGTTCTGTGTGAAACCTCCAGAGTCTGCCATTCCTACCAGTCTAGATGTGAGTCCCTTGCCCAGTCAATGTGCCCTCCCCTGCTCTCCCTGTTTTCTCCTCTCTCCTCCCTCTACAGCTCTATGCTTCCTCTCCTCCATACACTACCTTTCACTGTGCCACACTCTGTCCCCTCAGCCATATTTCCTTCCTGAAAAACCCCCTCAAGTCTGTATTCATTCCACTCTACCCCCTGCCTTAAATTAAAACATCCCCCATCAACCGATTGTCTTGCTCACGAGGATAGGAACTGATATAACTACAAAGAACAGGGGGACCCTTACGGAAAGAGGGTCCCCTTTCTTATCACCCTCCTATCTGAGACCATGAGATGGGGCAGGAAAAGGTGTCCAGGAAGGTCTTTCCATGATGTCTCTTTCCTATCTATGTCCTCAGTTCTAAAAAGGTATATGGAGGGGTGCCTGGGTGGCTTGGTCTGTTAAGCATCTGCGTCTCTTGGTACATGAGGATCAAGCCCCGTGCTGAGCTCTGAGCTGACAGCATTGAGCCTGCTTGGGGTTCTATCTCTGCCCCTCCCCACTCAAAATAAACACTAAAAAATAAAGAGTATGTGGGCTTTCTAATTCCCATGTTTTTTCATATTCCCTGGAACCCAGATTCCTTTTCATCCTTCCTTCGGTATTCCCATTTGTTAGATCAGGACAAGGTTAGCTTAGAGTTCTTGGGCTGTTGGTGTCCTCTACGATGTAGCCAGAGGGAGGCTTGGGAGGTGCTGAGGTTCCTGGTACTAAATTCTCATGAATAGCTGCTTTCTCAGTACTGAGGGAGGAAGCAGAGGGTAGTGTCAGCCCAAAGGACAGTCTTATTGGTGCCGCCAGGTGTTGTCCAGAAGCAGCAATAGCAGCAGTCTAAGGAATCTACCCAGCGGAGGGAGAGCACCCCTTCCCAAAGTGAATAGAAATGGAACCCCTGAGATAACCCACATCCCATTTTTCCCCCACCCTTGTCTATCATCACATTTCTCAGGATGCATTAGAGAAGAAATCATTGGGATATTATTAACTAGTGGGTGCAGATTTGACCTTGACCTAGGAGACAGGCCAGTTGTGATAAGGGGCTTTTGGGGAGATATTCAGCCCATTTCAGCTTCCCTTTTCCTCATCTGTAAATGAGGATGGTAAAAGAAAACAAAAACAAAAAAAAAAAACCCACAACTCCATTTCACAATATGACCGCATCCCTGTTAGATCTTCTATATTTGGTTCTTATTTATTTTTCTTCTATATTTTTAAAAGTAACATCACACACAGAGACATTGAATGTGATGCTTATATGTATTCATTGACATAGAACTCCACAACATATATTTGTTTGGTGAAAAATACACAGTATAGAATAGCACTTATATTTGATCACTTTTATATATACATACCTGGGTATACAGTTACAGGGAAATATCTAGAAGGAAATTTATCAAAGGGCTGACAATGGTTATATAAGGGTGGAAAGTTTCAGGTAATTTTTATTTTTTGTATTTTCCTTCATTTTGTGAAGGTTTAACAGAGTAACAATCATTTCATAAAAAGAGTAAAGTCACCAAGGAAATGGACACAGGCAGAGAATAAACCCTAGGCAGACAGAGGAGGAAGCAGGGACAGAGGTCAAGCCATCTTCTCCACTTTGGTGGTATCCAAGACCTCTTTCATCGAAAATAAAGCCACTTTATGGCTTAATAAATGCAGATAGAAGTCTACCCACCTCTCATTTTCCCCATCTGAATACAGTGAAGGGTTCACTTAGGGCTGGGTGTAGCACCTTACTGGAGGCCCAGCAAGGTCATTGTGTTTGCCAGAGACTTCTTTTGACCTCTCTGTATGTGTCAGATCCTGCAGAGTGATGACCAGATTCTCAAACATCTCACCCTTGTTGCTCTCACTGTCAGATTTCCTTTGAGTGACCCTCCTCACCATAATATGAACAGAATATTGTGTATTTTCACTTCCTGGCTCTATGCATATCCCCAGGACCATCAATCTTATACCCAGACCCCCAACTGGTGGAAAGAGATTGGGCCCCAGAACTGCTGGAAGAATCAATAACCACTATTTGGTCTAGAGGTCTGGCCCTGCCTCTGAGAGGAGGGCCATCCATGGATGTAAGTGGAGGGTCCTGAGACTCAACCAGGATCACATCTTCATCTGAGTCATCAAAGATATCTACCTCTATCACTCTGCAGTCAGCATTGCTGATTGCTATTGACTGAGGGCCCTGAAATGCCATGGGGCTTGCTGCCCTCTCCAAGATTAGCTCAGACCTTCTGGGTCGCTTCGGTTTCATAAAAGCATTATTCCAATCCTCTTCCTCCCTTATCATCTTGATTAACTCCAAAAAATTAGGAAGATACTCCTGATCATTTGCATACATCCTAAGATGTTTCAGCCTAAAGTGCAGATCCTTAGTCAGCTCAGCTCCTAAAAGGAGTTGGTGCAGGTGAGTCTGTTTTGCATCTTTCTGAGCTATGATTCTTGCCTGAATAGCATTCTGGAGCTGCACTTCTAAATGGATCACATAAAGGAAGGCTCTCTCCCCTTGTGCCTGCGAAGTGTTAAAAAATTTACCATGGGCAGTGACACTGCTTTCAGACTCCCCCAACACCAATTTCATTGCCCGCAAGAAATCAGCCACACTTAGATTGGGGTTGGCAGCCTGGAGTTAACGCATGACCTGCCTGGCAGGGCCCCTAAGGGTTTTCATCAAGTGCTTGAGCTTTTCCTCCTCAGCTATATTCCAATCGAGCAGGACCACATTGACTTGGATCAGCCAGTTTTCAAAGGTTTCTTCACCTTGGGTTGGCACCACTCTCCTGGAGAACAACTTCACATTTCTTTCTGCCATGTTGACCCTTAAAGGACCAAGACTCCTCCCCAGAGAGACCTCAAAATTGAATGGGCCCAAGGTGGCAAGGGTGTGTTTTGCCGCCAGCTATTACCCACACGTGCAATGATGCTACCCTTGATGGACAATGATCTTCTATCTGAATATAACAAGATACTCAGGCTTTTTAGAAAAGCCTAATTTGTATTAGGAATCCCCAAAGCAATGTTCCCAGGTTCTGCCTTCTTTGCATCTCAATAGGACTGTAAAGAAAAGGGGGGGGGGATAATTTCACCAAGGTAGTAGATTGCAGGGAAGTGGTCTGCAATCTCTCTACTTTCATGAACACCCTGCAGTACATTTTATATTTGCCCACTGACCTAAAAATACCCTGCAGGAAACTGGCTATTCTGGAAATACTGGGTGTCCTTTTGCTAGCAGGGTACTTTTTGGAGCTGCATCCATCCCTCCCACCAGTCCTTCAGGAGGGAGGACAACTGTTGCTTTGAATTCTAGGTGAAATCGTGTGTGGAGCTGTTACTGGCCTCTCAAAATTGAGTCCTTACTCTCAGATCTCAACCACAGCCCCTTCTCAAAATACTCCCCTCTTATATCTTAGATTATAAAACATAAGCTGGGAAACAAGTGCACGCTTTTATTTCACTTCCAGCCTCTGAAACAGGTGCCCTCCTGAGAAAGCTCGCCATCGGGGTAGCTGGACCTCTGTCCACTGGGGTTTTCAGAGCCCAGTCCTGAGGGCGTCAAGACTGCGTGGTCAGGGAGGGCCAGACCAAAAAGGGAGAGTCAAAAGAAGCCTCACCCCTCATTCCTCATCCCACTCCCTCTCGCCACCGCCCCCCCCCCCCCACTGAAGCCAGACGGGAAATTCCATCTTCCACCTTCAGACAGAAAATTCCCTAACCTACCTTCTGAATACAAGTCAAAGCAACCCTTCCTATTACGTTTCCCCTGGGAAATCTTTGGCCTACCAGCTCTGCAATCAGCTGCACAAAATTCAATACGGGTTTGGCTTTGATGGCCTGGCACGGAGAAAGGGAATGTGAGTTGGACATGCACACTCACATATTCCTCCTCAGGAAGAGATGGGGAAATGCAAAAGGGGTCCAAAGCAGACAGCCTGTGATTCTCTCCCCCTTGTCCCTTACCACCCTTTGAAAATGCTTCCCACTTTCATTCAGGCAAATCCTACCCATTTGGCAGCATACAGCAAAACCCCACCTCCTCCCTTAGCGCAAAGGGGCCAAGGGAGTGCTCCTTCTACGCCTCGCAGTTCTTGATTCCCCAAGTGGGGAGCCGCCCAGTACTGGTGAAGCTTCTCCTTCCTCTCTCCTCTCCAGGCAATCGCCCCCTCCCATTTTTTTTAACCTGTTCTCTGCTGGTGGGCAGCGGATGCTCCAGCTTGGACAGCTGTGGATGCCTCCTTCCAGTCTCCGCGGCCTTGCAGGGGAAAAGGATGACGCTTCCTTGGCTGCAGAGCGAACCGGAGCTGCCCTACCGAGCTGCTCCGCTGGGCAGCACAGCAAGGGGTAGCCAAGTTCAGGCAGCACGGTTCCCACAGCAGCTGCGGCCATCCCCGCCCACCGGCTGGGTCCTCCCAGCAGCCGCCGCTACAGTTAGCCCCCGCCAGTTGACACAAAAGAGCTTGAAGAGCCTGGCGGCGCGGCCAATCAGCAGGACTCGGGGCGGCCTCCTCGCTCAGCCTCTGCCCCTGAGGCCATTGCTAGCGAAAAGAGGGAGCAGGCCGGCGGGGGCTGCGGCACTCCGGCGCCTAAGCCAGCGCTTTGTCAAGTGCAGCTCGGACGCACGGACCCGGCCGATTTGCATTTTACCCGTGAGTTTGCTGCTTCCCCCTCGCTTTCTTTCTCCCTCTCCCCTTCCATCTCGATTCTTCTCCCTTTGCGCTTTGAGACCGGATGCCTTAAACACGAGGTGGGACAGAAATCAAGTGAACAATAAGAGTTCCTCACCTTTGTGTAGGAGGAAGGGGAGAAAGCATTTACTGAGCGCTTTCAGCGTCCGAATGCGCTTGCACCGACATCTCATTTATTCTTCTCAGCAGCCTTGTGAAGGAGGTAGTGGTGTGCCTGTTTAACAGAGAGAGAGAGAGAGAGAGAGAGAGAGAGAGAGATCTTCAGCACCCAGTATGGTTAGGAAGTGCAGAGCTAAGAGCTCATACCCAAGTCGACATGTCTGATTTCAAAGGCTGCCCCCTGTAAATACTCCTCTCTACTGTATGAAGGTTAGTGGAGAAAAGCCAAAGTGGAGATGGGAAGGCCCATTTGGAACTATATAGAATTAGTGAGCAAGGACTGTTATCTCCATTGTACAGATGAGGAAACAGAGAGGTCAGGCATACTGCCCAGCATCACACAGCAAATAAGTATCAACATCCGATTTTGCATCCACATCTGTTGTTCTAATGCCAACTATTTGCTCAACTGAGCTGCCCAGAGAGTATTTTTACATCGGCGGTCTCAAACCACCAGGAGTCTTGGTGTAATAGTAGTGTTCAGTGAGAGGGAACAGGGAGGCAGCGGGGTGGGGGAGGGAGTGAGGGAGGGGGATAGACAACTTTCACAGTACCCCTTGTAGAGAAGAGAAAACTAAGGCACCTTTCTTTCTCATTTTACACTATACACTACAATAAGCTGCTTCTTTATTTAAAAAAGTAAAACATTATTTCTGCAGCTTATGAGCTCAAAGAAACAAGGCTCAGAGAAGTGAGATGACTTGCCTGAAATTACAAGGTGAAGTCAAAATTTGGACCAAATCTCTCTGACACCAGAACCCATGCTCTTAAGCAAAGTATGGGTACAAGACTGTTGCCTCAGAATGATTTTGGAGAGCTTGTTAGAAAAGCAGATTCCTTTGCTCCACCTCTGGGGGGTTCAGATTTGCTAGGACTTGGGGTGGGGTGGGGGGAGTGTGATTTATGTTTTTAACCAGTGCTGCGGTTAATTCTGAGATGTAGAGAAGTTTATGAATCACTGCTGAAGACACCACATCATGTTGAGGGTAATAAGTAAATGGCCTGCTGCTAATATATCTGGCCATAACACATCTGTTATGAAATGTTAACTCCACTGAGCAGAGGTTCCTACCCAGGGTCCTTTATGAAATTGTCTGCAAATAATTTGGACTCTGTATATTTTTCTGAATTCTTAGTTTTGTAGTTTTTTCAAGATAAGTTTGTGGCCCAGAAATGGTTAAGAATCATTCTCCTATAGTCTTTATTCATAATATATTCTTTCTACTTGTACTTCAGGAAGAAGTGTGAGAAATGAAACAGTTTGACCTAACGCCTGATCCACAGATCTCTACCGCTGATACAGCTCTTTCATTTCCTGGCTTGAGAACAGGTTGCTAGGTTGCCCTTCTGTGAGCTCTTGAGGGGACCTCTCCTTTGCTGGATTTGGCATCACTGGCCCCAAAGAAGGAATAACTCCATGGAAACGGCATGCAGGGCTGGCCACCAGCTTGAATGGGCTGTGAGGCCAGTGGCTGGGAAACCTCTTTATTCTATGACTTCTCATTTTTGGAGAGCAGGTCTTACTTTCCTTATGTAAATTGTGGCTAGGAGGCCCCCTGTAGGGCTTGTTCTTGACTCCTGATGCTTGGTAGCAAGTGAACAATCTAATGCCCTTCCACAATTGTTGTTGGGTACATCTTCAACTTGCCAAGGTACTTCACCTGCTCCTTTCTACCTTCTTATTTACAAACCAAATACCTAGAGTTATTTGAAGTGAACAATTCAGATTTGGAGACAAGGACTTTTATCTGAGTACTGTGGCCTTTTACTTGTAGATGGAACAGTGCGAGAGGGGTGGTGGAGGCTGGAGGGTGTGCGAGGTAGAGAGAAGGCTCACCTCACACAGCAGTGATGCTGGCAGTAGCACTTGGGCTTCCTTGAGACTTTTGCTTCTGCTCCCCAACACCATGACATCTGACCCTGGGTCTCAGCAGATTCCTGTTCTGTGTTTAAATTGGTTTCACTGACAACTTAGGTGATCTGCAGGTGGACCTGGTGGGGATGGGATCAAATAGGACAAATAGATTCTAGAGCTCTGACCAAAAAAAGTGAGAAGGAATGAATTCTGTAAAGGTGTCTGGATTGGGCCCTTAAAACAAAGCAAAGGTCTCTTCCAGCAAGGCTGGGAGGAGGATTTTCTAAACTGGCTCCAGTTGGATACAGAGTATCCCTTATCTCTGGCCTCATGTGTGGGAGGGTGTTCCAATTCATGGCTATGATGAGACCACATTTTCCAATTTCAACAAAGAAACCTTAAAAGCCTGAAGGTTAGGGAGATAAAGCTTTTCAGCTGAAACAGTAATAGCTTCCCTGGCTTCCTGCCTCCTCTATGACAGCAACTTTACATTTAAGCTTCTCAGCAGCCCTATTAGACAGGCATTGTAATCCCATTTTGCAGATTGAGAACCTGAGTTTCAGGGAAATTAAGTAATTTATATAAACCCACACAGCTAGTAAGTGGAGTTACAGGGACTTCAGCCCCCTCAGGGCTATCAGACTTCAAAGCCCGTGAATAACTTTGCTGTCTCCCAAACAAGTGATTTAAAATGCACTCTGCAGGGGCACCTGGGTGGCTCAGTCTCTTGCTTGGCTCAGGTCATGATGTCATTGTGGGATCCATCTGGCTCTGCGCTGGCTCTGCGAGTTTGCTTGGGATTTTCTCTCCCTCTCTCTCTGCCTCTTCCCTGTTTCTGCTTTCTCTCTCTCTCTCTCTCTCTCTCTCTCTCTCTCAAAATAAATAAAATAGACATTTAAAAATAAAATAAAATGCACTCTGCAGATGATCCAGTGCATTTGACTGATTTCAGCTTTAAAAGAAGTGTAGTTGTAATCTAATCTTTATTTCTGGGATCATTTATTAAATGAAACTAGTAATATAACTTATGGAGCAATTTATATACTGAGTACTGTGCTAAGAGTTTTATATACTTCCTCTCATGCAAGCTTCATCACAATCATTTTATAGATTTATAGATTTACAGATACTGAAGCTCAGAGAAGTGAAGAGACTTGGCCAAGGTCATAAAGCTAGGAAGTGGCATGGTGAAATTCACACCCAGGGCTGTTTGACTCCAGAGCCTGTGTCTTCATGCTATAACACTTTGCAGTGGGAAAAACAAATATGGCACTTTTTCTAAATCCACTCCTGTCAGCCACAGATCTGTCTCCTTCCCATTGCCTGCATCCAGAACTGTGCATCATTCATATTTTTACGCCTCTGTGCCTTAGTCCTCTTCCTCAGCATAGAATGCCTGCCCTCACTCTTTCACGTAATGAAATCCTGGACATTGGTTAAGGATCAAGTCAAATGCCCCTCTCCTCCAAGAAATGTCTTGGCTGCTCCCTGTGCCAGGTAGACTAAATTACTCATATTTCTGCTCTGACCTTGATTAGTATACCCTTTATTTTGCCTTGCAGTATAGTTTATCTCATTGTTGACCTGTCTCTCCCACTAGATTCCCAAGCCCTTGAAGGCAGATACCAAGTCCTATTCACCTATAGCTTCACAGTAATTTACCCACAGTGATTTAGTAGACAATTAGTAGGTGTTTAGGAGTTGAACAAAAACTGGCTGAGGGGGCCCTGGATGAAGAAATAAATGTGGGGCTGGATCCTGGGGTGATCACACAGGCTGTCCATCTGGACTCAACTGGCCAGGGGAGTCTGTAATCCCTGGGCTCACTTTATTAGGCTGTAAACATAGGAGACACATCGTGAGGTATAGGGAATAACTACTGAAGACTGACTCCAGGCACATTCTGTGGTTTGTACTTTGAAATTCATGTCAAGGGGCGAAGCTGTCTAGAGTAGTTTATAGAACATCTTTGCATTCACAGAAGAAAGGTCTCTGCCTCCTATGTGAACACAGGATTTGTTCCACCATACCCCTTTATCTGGTTCTGGCTGACCTGATCCTGCAGGAGTGTATGCTCTGTGGAGACAGTTGAAGTCTGGAAGCATCTCTCTCTCTCTTTTTTAAAATACACTTTATCAAGCTCACTATGTTATGGATACTTAACCATTTTATCTCATTTTGTTTTATTAATCTTTGCAACAATCTTTTGAGGTAGGTCTATTGTTGCTATTTCATGGCTAAAGAAACAGATTGAGTGTAGTGTCTTGTCTAAGATCACACAACTAAGTGGTAAAGACAGAATTCAGTTTCTTTTTTTAATGTTTCTTTTTAAGAGAGAAAGATAGGTGGGTTAGGGAGAGAGAGGATGCAAAGAGAGAGGGAGACAGAGGATCTGAAGCAGGCTCTGTGCTGACATCAGAGAGCCTGGTGTAGGGCTAGAACTCACACATCACAAGATCATGACCTGAGCTGAAGCGGTGCTTAACTGGCTCAGCCACCCACACACCTCCAGAATTAAATTTCTGATCTGTCTGCTCCCAAAGCCTGGCATCATAATGGGCGAATACATGAGATAAAGGTGGATTCTCCTCTTCCCCTATAAAATAGGAAGGATTGCATTTATATAATGAAGAATTAGATATTTAAGCTAAGGTGTTTCTAAATTATTGCTCCCCTTTAATTCCTGAAAGTGATTGGCAAAACTGGCGGAAGGAATTGGGAATGGAAAAGCATAATTCTGTAATCAAATATTGGCCCCAGTTTCCCCATGTCAGCCCCCAGTGACATGCACAATATGAGAATGCCTAGAGAGCATTTTACCACTGATTTTATTTTATTTTATTTTATTTTATTTCATTTCATTTCATTTCATTTCATTTCATTTCATTTCATTTCATTTCATTTCAGAGAGAGAGGGCAAAAGTGAGCAAGGGGCAGAGAGGAAGAGAGAATCAATCCCATGAGGGACAGAGAGAGAGAGGGATAGAGAACCAGGGCTCATGCTCACCAGAAGCAGGGCTTGTGTTCACCCGATGAGCAGCTCAAACCCATGAGCTGTGAAATCATGACATGAGCCAAAGTCAGATGCCCAACCGACTGAGCCACCCAGGCACCCCAATCCATCAGCTCACTTTATAACTGAGATGGATGAGACTCCAAGATGTCAATGGATTTCTAAAGGTCATACAGGAAGTTGATAATAGAACTAGCACTTAGAATGCTAGTCTGCGAAATCCTAGCCCAGTTTTTCCCCTATGTCAGCCTGCCTTATGCAGTCAATCAAGACATGTTTATAGGTAACTCAGGAAAAAGTGGGGAAGAAGTAGAACATCATTGCACTTTGAAATAGAAGAGAGCACAAACATTTCCCTCACTAGGTGCCCTTATTTAGATGCAGGTAAGACTTGGGGCAGAAGTTTGTTAGTAGTAGATCTAGGTGATATTGGGAGTACCTGTGGCTTTGGAGGCCTGAATGGAGCTACCTGTGGCCTGGAGTTGGGGGAGGCATCTCTTTTGGTTCTAGAGAGATGGAGGTGGCTATCAGAGGCCCAGAATTGCCACAGAGGGATGCAAGAAGTGGGCCTGATGAGCCTTTGCTCCTGGCCAGTTCTCAGCTAAAGGGTCTGAGGCAGAAGGGCCCTCCCAGTCTCCTCCTGGCCATGAGGTTAAAGAGGTGAAGCTGAAGGCAAACATGAGGTGCTAGGGGTGGGGAGGGGCGCTGACAGAGCACAGGAGGCTGAACCTTCACGCCCCTCCACACAGACAAAGTGTGTATGGCTAGGGGAGAGCAGCAAGTGGGTTGAAAGGTCAGATTAGGGGGTCAGGGATGAAGCAGGAGCAAGAAGCCAGGGAGGAGTTGATGGGGATGATTCTGGAAAGAGAAGCACTTCATGGCAGGTTCTGTGTGTGGCAGCCCAGGGAAGGCTTTAGTGGGCTTCTTGCAGTGCCTGGCTTCTACCCCTCCCTGGAGGCCTGAGCCTGCACCCCTTTGTCCCTGTTGAGGGGGCCATTAACCCCTGACATCAATTAGAGCCCCAATACTCCTCTCCCCTCAAGACCACACAGTCCAGGGTTCTGTGTGAAACCTCCAGAGTCTGCCATTCCTACCAGTCTAGATGTGAGTCCCTTGCCCAGTCAATGTGCCCTCCCCTGCTCTCCCTGTTTTCTCCTCTCTCCTCCCTCTACAGCTCTATGCTTCCTCTCCTCCATACACTACCTTTCACTGTGCCACACTCTGTCCCCTCAGCCATATTTCCTTCCTGAAAAACCCCCTCAGAGTCTCAGATCTACACTGAACATTCATTTCTTCTCGATCCTGACTTTCCTTCATGTGTCCTGGATCCCCCGTTACCTCTCATCTACCCTACCAGCTCCCAGCCCTTTCTGGGGTGGGATCAGTACTTTGGTGCCCTTGTACTGTCTTCCGTCTAATACAGTGATTCTGAACTAGTGGTGATTTTGTTTCCCAAACAATGCTATTGGCATTCAGCAAGCGGAGACCAGGATGCTGCTAAATATTCTATAATGCACGCGACAGGCACCTACAACAAAGAATTGTCTGGCCCAAAATGTCACATGTGTCAAGGTTGAAAATCCCTGCTCTATTATATAGCTACAGGTCTGCAAGGATAGGCTTGGAAATTACCAGGTATGGAGACTTTTGGTTCTGACCTTCCAGGAACAGCTTACTTTCTCTGTTCCTCAGTTGGGAGTGGGGGACAGGGCATTGCTATTAAGCAGTTACAATTCTGTCAGGAATCTGCAGGCATAGAGGCGAGGGAGATTCCCCCCTCCCCAAATTTACTACCAGCTTTTAAAGAAAGTATTGGAATACAATTTCTGAATGCCTGTCTGCTTCTATGAGATAGTGCCGCTTTTTGGAAAGAGAGCAGCCACTTTTTATTGTAGCAGTTTACCAAAGACAAAATTTCATGTGGTGAAAGTTGAATGCCATAGATTTTGGAGCCCTGTTTTCCCAATTTTATTTTCTTCAATCTTCTTTGAATATTAGAATATTTGATTTGTCGGTAAACCACTGTACAGGTGACTCTGTTCAGAAAAGAAAAAAAAAACCCTTGCCTTTTAAAACAAATGCTTATTTTGAGAGAGAGAGGGAGGGAGAGAGAGAGAGAGAGAGAGAGAGAGAGAGAGGAGAAGGGGCAGAGGGAAAGGGAGAGAGAGAATCCTAAGCAGGCTGCACTGTGCTGTTAGTGCAGAGCCTGGTGGAGCTGGATCTCATGAACTGTGATATGACCTGAGCTGAAATCAAGAGTCAAGCACTCGGGGCACCTGGGTGATTCATTCAGTTGAGTGTCTGACTTCGGCTCAGGTCATGATCTCCTGGTTCTGTCGGTTTGAGCCCCATAGCCCCATAGTAGCAGGCTTGGGCTCTGTGCTTATAGCACAAAGCCTGCTTTGGATCCTCTCCCCCCACCCTCCCTTGCTCTCTCTCTCTCTCTCTGAAAAATAAATACACGTTAAAAAAAGAGTTCCAATTTCTCCTCATTCTCACCAACACTTAAAAGAAAAAAAAGAAGAGTTGGAAGCTTAACCAGTTGAGCCACCCAGGGGCTCCAAAACTTCCTTTGTTTTAATTTGAAGCTGATGAATTATTTCTTAAGACTGTGTCTATTTCTGAGAAACTCACCCAAAGTGTTGCTTGTTTCCTTAGAGCTGAGTTTCTTGGGACTCCGTTTCTAAAAGTAATGAAAATGTCACCAACAGATTAAAGTGGTCAGTCTAACTTCTTTTTTCCCCACTATTGCCAGTTTTCTTCCATCTGCACCCAGTTGTCTTCAGCATGGTGGAACAGAACCACTCTCCTGGAAAGGAACTTCAGCACAGGACACGAGCAGAGTCTCCAGGAAAGAAAAGCTGGCACTCCCAGGCCTATGCCCTGGGGGCTGTTTCCAACTTTATGTCTACTTTTCTGACCTTCCCTATCTATAAAGTTGTGTTCCGGCAACAGATACATGCTATGGCGGTGTCAGAGGCTGTGCGACAGCTTTGGCATGAAGGCCCGCAATACTTCTACCGGGGAATATATCCACCTCTTCTTTCCAAGACATTGCAAGGGACTCTACTGTTTGGGACTTATGATACCCTGCTGTGTTCTCTCTCTCCTGTTGGGCCACACTCTCTGGGACACCGCTGGGCTGCAGGGCTCATGTCTGGTGTGGTGGAGGCTGTGGCACTGAGCCCCTTTGAAAGGGTGCAAAATGTGCTCCAGGATGGTCGCAAGCAAGCTCGCTTCCCCAGCACCTTCAGCATTCTCAAGGAATTCAACTCTTATGGGTTTTGGGGGCGGCTGTCAATGGGCTACTATCGTGGTTTCTGGCCTGTCCTTCTCAGGAACAGCCTGGGGAGTGCTCTGTATTTTTCCTTCAAAGACCCCATCCAGGATGGCTTGGCAGAGCAAGGCTTGCCCCCTTGGGTTCCTGCCTTAGTGTCTGGGAGTGTCAATGGAACAATCACCTGCCTAGTTCTGTATCCTTTGATTGTGCTGGTGGCCAATATGCAGTCCCATATTGGCTGGCAAAGAATGCCAAGCCTGTGGGCCTCTGCGCAGGATGTGTGGGACACTCGGGGCCGAAAGGTGTTCCTCATCTACCGTGGAGGCTCCCTGGTCATCCTAAGGTCCAGCGTGACATGGGGCCTCACTACTGCTATCCATGACTTCCTGCAGAGGAGATATCATTCCAGAAAAGAGCTGAAAGGCTGACTAGCTGGAGGAAGTGTGGCCATGGCAACTTTGCTATCCTAAGCCTTCCCAGGTTGGTCTAAATAGCTTACATCTTTGGCTTGGTTACCTAATGCAACAACTGTTTAGCATCTTTGAACTGCCGGTGCATGGGAGAAGTTGCCAACTACCAGCCTGTTGGGCACAGACAAAGCCCAACAGGGTTTCTTGGTCAGAAAAAGAAAGTCACACTAGTCCATCCACAGCTTCAATAGCCTCAGACCTAGGACCCAAAAAAGCTTACGACTTAAATAAAATGTCATTCCTTTAAAGAATTTCTTGAAAATAAGAGGAGAATTTTAAAAGATGACCTTAGTTAGGCACTGTGAGTTCTGGGACCCCTCCAGTTGTCCTTTGGACCAAACTTAGAGGAGGACCAGGGACCTAAATTTCAAAGAACTATGCTTGACTCTTCGGATACAGATTCCATAGAACTTCTCAGATGGCTGCATTTTCATGATATTGTTCACTACCCCTGCCATCACTCTCACTTCTCAGGGCTGTGTGTTCTTGTTTCAGTCAGGCTGGCAGTTGTGTGTGGCTGGAAATCCTAAATTAGACTTGCCTCAACTGATTAGATGTCACAAGAACTGATGAGGCTGGATAGAGGAGTGGGAAGAAGTATTGTCACTTCTGTCACTTTGAGGGAAGAGATTTAGTTGCATGAGAAAAATTTACTATAGATTGCTTGGTATTATCTGCCAGGATATTTTTGATAGCAATGCAATAACACTGCCTAGAAACCACTTGAGTTTTCCTGAGAAATCTGGAAGTGAAATGACCATATCTCTTCACAAATAATTGCATATTTTATTGTGTGGATAAATGCAGTTACAGTGACATAAAGATGAGAAATCTTAGCCTGTCATTCAGAGCTATTAAAAATATGGTACCCATATAACTTGCAGCATTTTATCACACCACTGCCACTTACATAGACCCCATACAACCAACTAAACTGGACTATTGTTCTCTCCCCAAAAATGCCATGAACTTTCCCGTGGCTGTGCTTTGGCCCACACTATTTCTCCACCTGCAGTATCTTCCCCACATGCCAGTTTCCCAAAACCCTTCCAGTTTCTCAAAGCTAGCTCAGATGCCACCTTCTCTATGGAGACTCTTCTGATTTCCCATAACTGAATGTTACATTAGTCTCTAGTGATGTCACTTTCCAATAACACTTCATACACGGCACTGATTCCATTATGCCACTGATCTCATGTGGCCCTATGTTCTTCTTGGTGTTCTTCAATACCTCCTACTAGACTAAAACTCCTTGAAAGCAGGGATTCTTATATGCATTTTAAAATCTCCCATTGTGCCTAGGTGCTCAATAATGTTGGCTGAATTGCCGAATTGATTATCAAGCTGTGATATGATCTTTATCCTCAGGGTGCTGTCCCTTGTACATGAAAATGATGTTATTGATTCGCTGTCAGCAAGACACATGCTTTTGGGATATGATTTTGTTTTCCTTTATTAGTGGATTTAGTTTTGTGCTAATGATAATGATGCTGCTGATAATAATAATAATAATAATAATAATAATAAAAATGACTCTTAACTGGAACATTTGATGAGTTTGTGTTATTGATGGCATTTGCTATTAACAGCACCACAAGAACTAAAATTTCACAAACAGAAACACATTGCATAACCACCCCATTCATTTCAACTCTGGAATATTGAAGATTTCCAAGATGACATATGTTGCACTTTTCCCCTTGGAAATAATATCATGATAGTAACCTCCACTTGTACCACCTTACCTAACTGACTTTATCGTTTAAAATGACCTGCTCATAGATCCTAGCAGTGAGAATTCCTCACTTAATATCACAGAAGTTAAAGACACAGCAGTAGGCAATATGAGATCAGAGAGCATTTGCCAGCAAGGTCAACAGAAAATCGGTGGTCCAGAATAGCTGTAGATGAGTTCCCACATCTGATCCTTGTGCAGATTTGGATGGGGTAGGATGGCGCTTTGCTGGTGGATTCAAGGACAGGGAACATAGGGTCTGCACAAGAAAAGGAAAAATAGAACAGCAGCTAGTTATATTTCAAGGCTAACTGTCAGAAGGAATAAAATATTACTTAACAAAAATTTGTAACTTAGCTTATGGCTTTTTGTTTGAGAGGACGCAAGTGAGCAAGGTGCAGAAAGAGAGAGAGAGACGAAGAGAGAGAAGTGGGGCTTACCTGATGCGGGGCTCGAGCTCGGGAACCATGAGATCATGACCTGAGCCGAAGTCAGATGGACTGAGCGATACAGGCACCCCTATAGCTTTGGTTTTTAAGCTAAAAAGGAGATAAACTACTGTACTCCCCCACGTTTTAATCCAAGAGATGCATTTATTACTAAGTACAATGTCAATTTCCACTTACGTCACTGTGTCAGTTCATGTCCTTTCCTTCATTTTAACTTCTTATTTAAAAGTGGCAAACTTCTTGAAACTGTAATTTAAAACTTATAGAAAAGTTGCCAGTGTAAGCCAAGTTTATAAAGAACACCCATATACCCTTTATCCAAATTCACCTGTTAACATTTTACCCCATTTGCTTTATTGAGTATCCATTCTCTACCTACGCACCTACCTGCCTACCTACCTACATACACACACACACACACACACACACACTATTTTCCCCTGAACTACCCAAAGTTGCAATTTTAACATTTTCCCTTTTTTCTTTTCTTTTCTCTTCTTTTTTTTCCTTTTTTTCTTTTCTTTTCTTTTCTTTTCTTTTCTTTTCTTTTCTTTTCTTTTCTTTTCTTTTCTTTTCTTTTCTTTTTTTTTTTTTGACAAACCCTTGTGTCAGGGGCCGACTTTCAATAGACCGCAGAGAGGGAGCTGCTTGGCTACTTAAGAAACCCCGACCTAGAAACCTAGAAGCAGGTCGTCTACGACTAGTTTAGCACCAGGTTCCCCGCGAACATGCGTGATGGGCGAGGGGCGGCTCCTTTTCCGGCCACGCCCCGATTCCCACAAGAGGGGCTCTCTGCACTGGAACCCGGTCTGAGCCGGCGGCCCGCTGAATATTTCTTGATTCATTATTTGTAGATTCAAATTTTCAGACTGTGTTTTAACTCTATGACAGTGGCACTGTTACTATATAGACGATCCCCAAATTAACAGTGATTCAGCTTAGGAGTTTTTGATTTTACAATGATATGAAAGCAATAGGTAACCAGTAGAAACTGCAGTTTGAATTTTGAATGTTGATCTTTTCTAGGCTAGTGATGTGTGGTAGATACTCTTATGAGCTGGGCTGCGGCAAAGAGCTGAAGCTTCCAGTCAGCCACACGATCAAGAGGGTAAGCAATTAATACACTGACAGCCATTGTTTCTCCCTTTCAGTACAGTATCAACAAATTACCTGAGATATTTGACAGTTTACTACAAAATAGGCTTTGTGTTAGATGATTTCTTCCAGCTGTAAGGTAATGTTAGTGTTCACTTTTAAGGTAGGCTAGGCCAAGCTATGATGTTCAGTAGGTTATGTGTGTTAAATGCATTTTTGACATAAGATATTTTCAGCTTATGATGGGTTGATCAGAATGTAATCCCATGTTAAGTTGAGGAATAGCTATAGAATATTAGAAAATGAAAGTCCATGGCATATTTTAAAGTTATTTTGGTGGTAATTGTTTAAATGTACTATGTTTGCCTTTATAGAAACTTTAGATTTAAATTATGTATGTTAATACTTGAAGCTGTGCAATTATAATATTTTTTTTACAAATAGTTTATTGTCAAATTAGTTTCCACATAACACCCAGTGTTCATCCCCACAAGTGCCCTCCTCCATGCCCATCCCCCCACCCCCCCACAAAATCCTCAGTTTTTGTCAGCATTCAAGAGTCTCTCATGGTTTGCCTCCTTCCCTCTCCCCCACCATTTCCCCCCTTCTTCTCCCCCTTGGTCCTCTGTTAAGTTCCTCCTGATCCTCCTATACGTGCAAACATATGATATTTGTCCTTCTCTGCCTGACTTATTTCACTCAGCGTAACACCCTCAAGGTCCATCCATGTTGCTACACATGGCCTGATTTCACTTTTTCTCATTGCCATGTAGTATTCCATGGTATAGATAAACCACATCTTCTTGATCCATTCGTCCGTTGATGGACACTTAGGCTCTTTCCATGTTTTAGCTATTGTTGAGAGTGCTGCTATGAACATTGGGGTACATGTGCTCCTATGCCTCAGCATTTCTATATCCCTTGGGTAAATTCCTAGCAGTGCTATTGCTGGGTCATAGGGGAGTTCTATTGTTAATTTTTTGAGGAACCTCCACACTGTTTTCCAGAGGGGCTGTACCAGTTTACATTCCCACCAACAGTGTAAGAGGGTGCCCGTTTCTCCACATCCTCGCTAGCATCTCGTGTTCTCTGATTTGCTCATTTTAGCCACTCTGACTGGCGTGAGGTGGTATCTCAGTGTGGTTTTGATTTGTATTTCCCTGATGAGTAGGGATGCTGAGCATTGTTTCATATGTTTATTGGCCATCTGGATGTCCTCTTTGGAGAAGTGTCTGTTCATATCTTCTGCCCATTTCTTTACTGGGTTGTTTTTTGGGTGTGGAGTTTGGTGAGTTCCTTATAGATTCTGGATATCAACCCTTTATCTGATATGTCGTTTGCAACTATCTTTTCCCATTGCGTTGGTTGTCTATTAGTTTTCTGGATTGTCTCCTTTGCCTTGCAGAAGCTTTTCATCTTGATGAGGTCCCATTTGTTTATTTTTGCTCTTGATTCCTTTGCTTTGGGGGATGTGTCAAGTAAGAGATTGCTGCAGTGGAGGTCAAGGAGGTTGTTTCCTGCTTTCTCCTCTAGGGTTTTGATGGTTTCCTGTCTCACATTCAGGTCCTTTATCCATTTTGAGTTTATTTTTGTGTATGGTGTGAGAAATTGATCTAGTTTCATTCTTCTGCATGTTGCTGTCCAGTTTTCCCAACACCATCTGTTAAAGAGGCTGTCTTTTTTCCATTGGATATTCTTTCCTGCCTTGTCAAATATCAGTTGGCTGTATACTTTTGGGCCCACTTCTGAGTTCTCAATTCTGTTCCATTGGTCTATGTGTCTGTTTTTGTGCCAATACCATACTGTCTTGATGATGACAGCTTTGTAGTAGAGGCTAAAGTCTGGGATGGTGATACCTCCCGTTTTGGTTTTATTTTTCAGTATTACTTTGGCTATTCGGGGTCTTTTGTGGTTCCATACAAATTTTAGGATAGTTTGCTCTAACTTTGAGAAGTATGCTGGTGCAATTTTGATTGGAATTGCGTTGAATGTGTAGATAGCTTTGGGTAGTAATGACATCTTAACTATATTTATTCTTCCTATCCATGAGCATGGGATGTTTTTCCATTTATTTGTGTCTTCTTCAATTTCCTTCATAAGTTTTCTGTAGTTTTCATCATACAGATCTTTTGTATCCTTGGTTAGGTTTATTCCTAGGTATTTTATGGTTTTTTGGCAATTATAATATTAACATTAATTTACAAGTAAAGCGTGTTATAATTTAAATAAGTGACTTTTACAAATTGCTTCATATAAGAATCTAGGCAAAATTACATATCTTTTTCCATTTTAAGTCTTCCAAACAAAGTTTAAGACTGTGATAGTTTTCTAGTAATTTAATTT